CGACTATGAAGCATAGTCGATTAAGGTAATCGACTATGAAGCATAGTCGTTTAAGAATATGCTACTAAAAATAACAAATCACAACTGTAAAAAAAAATGCAAATAAAGTATATTTTACAAAAACAAAAAATATACAAACATTATAATTGATTTATACAACTGGAATCAATTAACAAAAAAAAATAAATTGGAGTCGATCAAACTTAATCGACTACCAGAGCATAGTCAATTAATTAGCTTAAATCGACTATTGAACATGTACATAGTCGATTAAGGTTCCAGTCTGCGCGAATTTCCCTACACTCGACGTCTTCCGTCCGATCCACAAAAAAACCTAAATTTGCCTCTCATCGTCACCACACCGCACTATTCAACCAATCCCTAACAAGAATAAAATAAATAAAATAAATAATTCATTAAAAAAAACACAACTTAGCATTTCAATGTCCCAAAAAAAAAAAAAAGGAACGATTCAAGGTACTTGTCAACCATTGTTGGTCACTCCATAAACAATTTCTGAACACATGACAAAACCAACACTAAAAAAATAATAAAAATAAAACAAACAAATACCTTCATTAACATCAATCGCAACAGTGATTTTCTCATGCCTCATCCCCGTAGCCATCAACCCACTTCGTCCTCGACGACGAGCGTCAGTCATCAGCTTCAGCGTTGTCGATGGAAACCACCGCCACCAACTACATATCCGTCACCACCCTTCACGCGGCGGTGGGAGGCAACAACAAACACTATTCCACCACCACCACCGCCGTCGGTTGCCGTCAAACATTCTTCCAGAGTAGCTCTATGATCTCCTTCTCCGACGACGTCTTGCTTTTCCTCCGAAATTCAGTCGAGAAGAGAAGAGAGAAGAGAGATGATGAGAAGGTGAGAAAAGAAGAAGAAAGAAACGACAAATGAAATGGGTTAGGGTTCTGAAACGTGAAAATGGATTTAATATCAATAAGACTAATTTGGAAATTATTAAAATAGTATTTGAGTGGAATATTAGCTAAAGGGGTTTTCTCTAATTATTTTTGGGAGAGAGTGTTTGCTTAACTACATTTTCTAGATAAGGGGTTTTCTCTAATTTTCCCAAGTTTTAATAAGATGGATTTATTTGTAAGATAAAAAAGTTAAATTTTTTTTTTTATTTTAAGTACTCTTGTCATGGACTTATTTGTCATTTATGATTTAATCATTAAACTTTTATAAAAGGGCAAATGGCAAAAAGGCCCATCACATAGGACTTAAATGCATTTTGGTCCACAAAAAAAACAGTCTCTCAATTAAGTCCATCTCTATGTCTTTAGTCTTAAATACCCTCAATAATATAATTCTTATCAATTCCACCCATTATGATCACATTAACCCCGGAATTCCTTAATATTACACATTGACCCCGGATTTAAACAAATATATCACATTAACCCCCAAAACTTTTTTTTTCAGAAAATAATTTTTTTTTCTGAAATGTCCAGACCGGCGGTCTCCGGCGTTGACTTTTTTATTTGAATTTTTTTTCTTAGAAGAAAAAAATATTTTAATTAATATTACTGTTTTAGCTACTAAATTACTGTCTCGGACAGTAATATTACGATTTGGGACAGTAATATTATGAATATTATTTTTTCCGAACAGTAATATTATGAATATTATTTTTCCGAACAGTAATATTATTAATATTATTGTCTAAGACAGTTAAATTACTGTTGAAGACAGTAATTTAGCATCTAAGGCAGTACTATTAATTAAAATATTTTTTTTTAAGAAAAAAAATGAAAAAAGCCAATTAACAGTTAAATTACTGTCTCCGACAGTTAAATACCTGCTGGAGACAGTAATTTAGCAAACGAATACAATAATATTAATTAAAAATATTTTTTTAAGAATAAAAAAGTCAATTAACAGTTAAATCACTGTCTCCAACAGTTAAATAACTGCTGGAGACAGTAATTTAGCAACGAGTACAGTAATATTAATTAAAATATTTTTGAAGAAAAAAAAAAGTCAATTAACAGCTAAATTACTGTCTCCGGCAGTTATTTAACTGCCGGACACAGTAATTTAGCAGCGAAGACAGTAATATTAATTAAAAAAAATTAAGAAAAAACAAAATTATAAAAAAAAAAAAAAAAAAAAAAAAGTCAACGCCGGAATCTGGCCGGAAAAAAAAACATTTCAGAAAAAAAAAATTTGGGGGGTTAATGTGATATATTTGTTTAAATCCGGGGTCAATGTGTAAATATTAAGGAAGTTAGAGCATAATGGGTGGAATTGATAAGAATTAGGGTTAAAATTGGGGTCAAAATTGAAATTAGGGTTAAAATTGGTTAATTGATGAAATTGGGCTAAATTGGGGCATAAATCATGAAATTGGAGTTGAATTGGGTTTCAATGAATTGGGGGTAATTTTGGTATATATAAAAGGATTTTCCTTATTTGCAAATAAGTTTGAATGGAGTGGATTTATTTGAAAGACAAAAAAGTTGGATGTCCCTCTTTTAATTAAGTGCCCTTGTCATGGGCCTATTTGCGATTACCCCTTTATAAAATTATTTAATATCTTGATTAATCTTATTTTAACAACCAAACACGACTTAAATCACATCATTCGTATCGTATCAGATGCGCATGTTTGTAAATAATTTAGGAACGGTGGTTCCTACCATCGAAATTGTGGTTATGAGTTCCAGGCCTAAATCTTAATGAATTGGCTCCATTGATTAGGAAATATTGGTCTTATTTAATTTTAATTTCTGAAAATGAATCCATATTGTATTCTTCTGAAAGATATATTAACTATGTTAATATCTATGTCAACATTATGCATTTTTATTGCATTTGTGTCATCTAGTTGGTAAACAGTTAGTCCTGTTAATGAAATTCGAAGAACCCCTTGAAAGCTATATAGAACTGAAACTTCAACTTCAATTTTTTTAATATTTTTGTGTTTTGGACGCGTTTTGTATCGGACATTCGAGGACACCTGCCGGATACTTTATGGATCATTTTGCAATTTCTAAAAAGTTATAAACATATTTGAATAACAAATTTTCAAATATTTTTGCTTCCCTAATTATTTACACGGTTTAATGATCAATTGCAAATTGATAGTTGATAGTGTAATTTATTTTGAATATGTTCGTATAGAAATATGTAAAAAGAATTTGTATATAAATAAAAACTTATATATAGTTGTACAATATCATAATTTGTCTATTATTTCAAAATGATTCAAGAGTTATAAAAGTGATGCAAAGTTTAAACAACAATTTTTAAATTTTTTTTTTTCCTTTTCATACTAAACATAGTCCAGAACAACACTAGAGGGAAGGATCTATTTACAGACAAGTCCAACAACTTCAAATAATTCAACAAAAAAATAAAAATACATGGTATCTTAATATGCTCGAAATCATTCACAAAAACATCGGACCTAAGTCCGAAATATATGCGACGATTTCGACTTTTTTAATACAAAACTAAATTTGGACATCAACATCAGAATCTTTAGTGGGAGGAGCTCTGTGGTAAGCAGGTACTGTAGCTGGGAAGAACATTTGCCTCACACCTTCCGCCTTTATGATTGGGAATATTATTCCAGAAGCACTCTGTTTTTCCGACGAATTCACGTTAGAGACGTCAAAATTATAAAACCAACGCATATTTTTTGAAGGATAGAGAGAGAAACATGTGATTAATAATGTACTCACCGATATTAATCTAGCTCCAATCCACATTCGTTTGGGCGATGGAAAGGGAAGCAATAATCGACCAACCCCAAATATAGCCACAGCAAAGAAATGACAAACCAAGCTGAGTGGGCGAGGGTTCAAACCCGAGAGCAAAGAAACGGGCCCGTTTGAGCAAACACCTCCAAGGCTCAAATAGTCGAAGCACGCCTGTCTCATCTCGTTTCTTGCTTCGTCCGGTGAAGCACTAAACACTTTGTATAGTGCACCGGCCAATGTATTGATAGTCGACGCCACAGGCTGTACATTAACAATTTTTTCAAAGTTAGATGGATTTTCTTTTTTTTTTTGTTTCAAACCGATATTATTTTTTTCAAAAAAAATTGGTCCACTTCATTTAACGCACACACCCAGTAATTAAGGGAAAAATACACTTTTTGTCCCTTAAGTTGAACATTTGGTCCTCCTTTGTCACAAAAAACAAATTTAGTCCATCGTGTTTCAAAAATTTTAACACTTCTGGCCATTTTCGTCAATTTTCCATCAGTACTAACGGAACCAAGCATTTACGGAAAATTGACGAAAATGACCCGAAGTGTTTAATTGTTGAAACATGAAGGACTGAATCTGCTTTTTAGTGAACAACGGGGACCAAATGTTGAATCGAGGTAAACTTTATGCACAAAAAGTGTAATAGTTCCCAATAATTAATGTAGCAATAGCAATTGAGTGTGTCAAGTCAAAGTGGTGTATCCAAGATTGACGAACTAATTCACCTTGCGCAAAGTGTAGAAACATTCGAGATATTTGCAAAGAGCGGATGCATCGCCGAGGTCGTTCAGTGGCTTAAGGAGATTGCGCAGGACAACAATATCCGATAGTGCGACAGTCATTCCGCCACCTGTCAATGGGTGACGCATGTTGAATGCATCCCCCATAAGCAAAGCACCCGGCGTAGGATGAGGGGCAGCTGGCATGCTCCTATTGGGCATTGTCCTTATGTTCCCTTTCTCAATCGCGGAAATAAAAGCATCGTGCAGTTCTGGAGGGACCTATAAAATTTTAAGTATAATTAATAATCATGACGTAGAAAAATAGGGTTGGAGGTTTATATATATATAATATAAATATATGTATATACCTGTGGAGCAATGACGGTGTTCAAATATTTGGCCATTTCACCGTTTGAAATGGAGGGAACTTTCTCACCGGGAACGTCAACAAGACAGCGAATCTCGGTGCTGCTTATGGGGTAAAATAGGATAGGCGATGGGTCTGCTAAAATCACGTGGCCGTGATTTGCAAACGGGAGTTGGCAATTCTCGAGGACCAGACCGACGAAACAAGACGGCACTTCCACCTATATAAATACCACAATATTACGATATATGGAATTATATACACTAATTAAAATTTGTATAGACTCTCTAGCAATTTTTACCTTTGGACTGCAAAGAGAGCGTCGGAGGTTAGAAAAGCAGCCATCGCATACGATTGTTAAGGGTGCGTAAGCTTTCAACTCTTGCCCGGATTTCGTTTTGTACTGTACACCTCTGATGGTTCCGTTTTCTTCGAGCAGAGATGTGACAGTTCCTTGGTCGACACAAACACTGTCGAACAAGGAGTATCAATCAAAACGATGTATTAGTGACATTATTAAAGTCTCTATAAACATATATTTTTTGCAACCACATCCGTAAAGAGACAAACACAGCATGAAAACAAACAAACACTTGATATGCCACATGAAAGCAACGAATATTTCCCATTTCTTGTTATTTTACGAAACTAGGGGAAAGAGGGACATACTTTGGAAGAGAAGAAGCTTTTTCTCGCATCCTTTGAATGAAGCGTCCGTTGTGGAAGCTCCTACCAGATACATCGGAGTGAAATTTCTCCAATGGATACGAAAGTCGAGTGGCTTTTCCGTCTTTGAATAGTGCGTAACCGAACACCCTCTGAGCATCGATTTCCTCCACACAATCTGTGACGAAAATGATTAAAACATTTTGTTAAATTTATATTAAAAAAAGCTCCGAAAAAACTCGTGCTAAAACTTATTAGAGCAAAAAGTATACCTTCCAATCCTAATTCGACGAGTTTGAGGTAACCGCCTGGTTGTAGGAGTTCTCCGACAATCCTGTCGGGCTCCGTTAAATCTCTTTCGATAACTCGAACACGTCTTCCCTCCTGGAATTATATCAAGATTTGAGTGTACAAAAGCCAACAACATAAGAATGTAACAGAATCAATTAATTGATATTTATTGTTCTTGTCCTAATCATTCACAACTTCTTTTTTATCTTGTTGTTGTTGAATTTGTTTACAGAAAATACCATAAACGAATCTGCATCTAAGAAATTTGAAAATCAATCAAAAACAAATCAAATAAACAATGAGGAAAATCTTAAAATCAAAATATTAAAAAAAAAAATAGGGGAAACGAAAAAGCTTTACCTTGCCAAGAGTGTGAGCAAGGGCAGCGCCAGCGACGCCAGCACCGACAATGATGACGTCATCCCTCGATCCGCATTCTCCTCCTCCAACGACGGCGGTGGTGGTGGTGGTGGTGGTGGTGGCGGCGGAGGCAGGGCTGTTCGACCGAATATCCTGATTTTTTTTCCTCAAAAAGCCAAAATAATAAAGAAAGAGGAAGCCAAAAAGGAAAGGTAAAAGAGAGGCGAAAAGAGTAAGATCCACCATTATTGCCGGCAATGCAGGTAGCTTCTTTTAGAGTAAAAACTATCTGTTGCCGGGAGCAATGACCGAAGCTGCTCTCTCTCTCTCTCTCTCTCCTCTTTCTTTCTCTCTCTAGATAGAGGTTCTCGGTCCTCGCTTCGCTGTACTCGTGGGGGATTAAAGAAAGAAAGAGATATGGTGGATTCAAATGGTAATTTGTGCGTGAATCAGAGTGCTTCGCTGGCTTGCTTGGCGTATTTAATGTAAATGTAAATATGTAAACTTAAAATAAAAACAAAATAAATGGAACGTGTAACGGCCTCGGAAAGCGTGGGCCCCGTGGGAGCAACTCTGTTCTTTAAACAAAAACAAACAGCGCAGGTCCACAACACAGCTATGAAGAAAGCTTTTGACCATATAAAAACACTTCTAATATTTTTTCTTCTTAAAATAAGGAATAAAATTAAAATTGAAAAGAACAGTTCAAATATTATATCGTAAATGAAAAATGGGAATAAATTAACTAATTAAGAATATCTCCCTTGTGACAAAATGGCAAGATAGATCTTAATTTTTTTTTTTAAATATAGGGCATGTTTGGTTGTGTTTTCAAAACTTATTTTCATTTTTTTATACTATTCATAAAACCGAGATTATATTTGTTTCATAATTTTGTTCAGACTTCCTTATCAATTTTTTTTTAAATATGCTATTCGTACATTTTCATTTCAAACCTACTAATATTTATTACTAAGAGCATCTCCGATTGGTTACTATATCGTCATTTTTTCATCTAATTTATGTGTTTTTAGTTTCTCAGCCAAAACTCTTATATCAGTATTACACCTAAAGTTATGGAGATTTGGTTTTAGCATCCCACCGTGGTCAACCCTCATATGACCATATACCCAAATCCTATTTTCAACTAAATTGTTTGTGAAGATATTTTCATCTCCCACCTATCCACTGTTATCCTATTTCTTTCCACCAAATCCTATTTTTTCTACCAAATATAGACGCGAAAATAGGATTTTGTGTAATTAACGTGATTTTATTAATTAACATATAGATGGTGATTTTAACTAATTGCCCATGATTACCGACTTGTTAGCATATTTATAGTAAATACATTACTGTTAATTACTAGGGTTAATATGGTAGAGATCGCTAGTTGGAAACATAATTAGATGTAGGATACAACCGTAATATTTTTTTATGAACTAAATTATTTTTTCAAAAATAAATATGACCCACATCCTTTACTTTTTTTTTTACTCCCAAATTTAGCCTCAACCTAAATCCATAAATTCTAAAATCATTTCTCTCATACCTATTTTTCTTATCTCTCTCTCTCTCTCTCTCTCTCTCTCTCTCTCTCTCTCTCTCTCTCTCTCTCTCTCTCTCTCTCTCTCTCTCTCTAATTCTCTCTTTCTCTCTCATTCTCTCGCTCTCCCTCTCCATCACTTCAGTACTCAATTGTTGAGGGGGCGATGGCTATAGTGCAACTATGGCGGTGGAGGCGGCGACAATAAGGGTATGGTTATGGAGGCAAGAGACGACGACAACTATGGTGGTGGAGGTCAGATCTATGGCAGATGGTGGGGGCTAGGGTTTAATTTGGTCGACGGCTAGGGTTTAATTTGGTCGACGGCTATAGCGACTAGGGTTTAATTTGATCGACGGCTAGGGTTTAATTTGGTCGGCGGATAGGGTTTAATTTGGTCGGCGGCTAGGGTTGGTACGTTGGACGACTAGATTTTGGCAAATAGGGTTTGACGACGGCTGAAATTGGTTAGCTGCTATATTTAACGGTGGCTGGAAGATGTTGGAAGTTAGGGTTTGGCGGGCGCGGGGAGTTGCTGAATGATAGAGTTTGGAATAGTACACCATAGTATACCGTAGTATAACATAGTATGCATAGCATAGCATACAATATACCACAGTACACCATACTATTTTTAAAATCCGTTGTATTATTTGACAAAAACGAAAAATTATTTTTCGTAATTTTTAATAAAATTAAAAAAAAAAAAGTTACTTATAATAACGTAAAAAATTCTAGAGTGAAAAACTAAAAATTAAAGATCACCAAGTAGGTAAAAATAAAATAAAATATATTATTAGATGAAAAAATGAAGATATTAAATGCATAATAAAAAGATAAATGCAGTTTGAATTTTACTTAATACAAAATCGAATTTATGTGTGGAGGGGCATTTTTTGAACGAATTTAATAAATGATGTGAAACAAATGTTTAGTTGAGCTTGACATTTAATTCTAATTAGTTTTGGCACCAGGGACATATATCATAAAACACTAATTACTAAATTAGTTTCTAAAATACGAACACATTTTTTATTATTAATAAGAACATTAGTTCTAATAATATAAACATGCTTATTCTTAATTAATTTGTATATTTTTTTGTTATCAATGTAGATTAATTCATTTCTTTACTTAACTAACACACTAATTGCTATTAATAAAATATAATAAGCAACAATAGAATAATTAACGAAATATGCTTTAATTGATAAAATATATCCTGCTTGTTGAGCTTTTGAGAGATTTTAAACTTTAATAATGCGGCATATGTTAGTTTTCTTGGTTGACATCGAAATTTGATAAATTAAGGAAATCACAGTGAATTAAGAAGTAGATGGTAGCACACTTATGGAATAAACATGCTCAAATCGATGATGTTTAAGATTATGATGGTGATGATGATGATAATAATGGAATGAGCTATTTTTTTATGATTTAAATTAATATATGTTGTAATATTTTTTATTTGTGTAATAATTTATGACATCGTTGTTTGTGTATGATTTTATTATATGTAATATAATTTGAGTTCATATTATTTCCTATTTAGATAGTTTTTTTTAAATTGATAACATAATTTTTAAATTATATAGTTAAAAAAAAATTTATAACTTAAAATTGGACCTATAATTAATATTTAACAAATAAGATATACCAAAATTACGATAAACATTAGATTTATAGTTTTGGGGCATATTTGGTAAAACGCCATGGGACCAAACCAAATCCCATTTCCGGTGAAATGGTGAAATAATATTATTTTAATATTTTGGTCTAAATTTTGGTGAAATCCTATGGAGACCAAAAACATCATTTTCCACATAAAATGGTGGAAGGGTAAAAATGTATGCTACTGGTGGGAGATGAACTCATATTTTAACCACCAAAAACGGAATTTGGTGAAAAAAATGGTAAAATCGGTTGGAGATGCTCCAAGTGGTGAAATAATGGAATATTATTATTTTAATATTTGATCTAAATTTTGGTGAAATCTTCGGGAGGCTAAAAACACCATTGTCTACCAAAAATGGTGGAATTGAAAAAACATCAAAACACTAAAAACTCAACAAGAGACCGAGAGATAGAAAGAGAGAGATGTTATAGCTCCAAAATGCTAAGAATTTTAGAGCAAATCGTCATTGACTCCTCACCGGTCACCCCAAGTGCCTCCTACCAAAATCTAGCCGCCGCTAACCACCCAAGGTTCCGCGCTCGCAATGAAAAAAATTATAGAAATAAATCAGACAATAAAACATTGAACGAAATTGCTATCAAAATATAGAACTCGACGAGCGGAATCTAAAGATGGGTAGCCTGTCAAATTTCAACTGTCGGAACACAAATTACATCTCGGGCAAGACCCACCGTCGTCGAAATCGGCGCCGACAATAAAACGATTGAAGAAACAGATAGGTCCAAACTCTATTGAATCACCACCAAAACAAAGCGGTCGACGAGAGGAATCTAACGGTAGTTAACTCATTGAAGTCTGACCATCGGAGAAAGAGTTATGACTCCAGGAATCATCGCCGGTTAGAGACCATGGGGGCGGGATTTGAATTTGAGAGTTGAGAGAGGAAGAGAGAAACAGATGTGAGTTGGCTAGGGTTTAATACTGATTTTAAAAGAGCATATTAGGTACTTCAAAATGGCAAAGAGGTATAAATATAAAAAATGAAGGAAGAATGCACGAGGATGTAATATCTTTAGTAGTTATTTCAAAATATTTTCCATGAGGGGGTCTATCAAATAATCCTAATGAAAAATGGGAATAAAATACGAATTTCGCCCTAGTAATAAAATGGTGAAATAGATCTTAAAATTCAGACAAACTTTTCTTTCTTCACAAACACCGAAAAATTTGAGTTGGTGATTTCGAAATTAAATAAAATAAAATTGTAATATACATATAATATATAAATTTAAACCCTTCACCTGTTGAACTTTAGAGAGTGACATGTGGTAGTTTCACCATAGGATACATGTCACGCTTAGGTGTCCGCCTACTCACTGCCAAGTATCATTGAATATTATAGGAAATTGTATTTAATTTGTTTCCAAAATTGAATTATGTTAATTGTTTTATTTAAATATGTTTAAGTATAGTAACGTTCCACCTTATGATAATATTTTAATGGTATATAGGTCTCTCTATATTTTAATTTATGTGTATAGATCCAAGATCCAAGTCAAAAATATCCATAATTTAATAAAGGGCGAATGGTAAAAAAAACCCATCACATGGGACTTAAATGCATTTTAGTCCACAAAAAAAACAGTCTCTCAATTAAACTCATCCCCATGTCTTTAGTCTAAAATACCCTCCATAATATAATTCTTATCAATTCCATCCATTATGCTCTAACTTCCTTAATATTACACATTGCCCCAGATTTGAATAAATATATCACATTAACTCCCAAAATTAAATTTTTTTCAGAAAATTTTTTTTTTTTGAATTTTTTTTTTGAAAACTTTTTTTTTCCCTGAAATTGTTTTCCGGCCGGTCAACCACTGTTGACCGCCAGTCTCCGACGTTGACTTTTTTTTTTTTTTTTTGAATTTTTTTCTTAGAAAAAAAATATTTTAATTAATATTACTGTCTTGGCTACTGAATTACTGTCTAAGACAATAATTTTACTGTTTGGGACAGTAATATTATGAATATTATTTTTCCGAACAGTAATAGTATTAATATTATTGTCTAAGACATTTAAATTACTGTTGGAGACAGTAATTTAGGAGCCAAAGCAGTAATATTAGTTAAAATAATTTTTTTTAAGAAAAAAAATTAAAAAAAGAAGTCAATTAATAGTTAAATTACTGTCTCCGACAGTTAAATAACTGCTAGAGACAGTAATTTAGCAACAAATACTATAATATTAATTAAAAATATTTTTTTTAAGAATAAAAAAG